TTTTTTTTTTTTTTAATCATAGAGTTGAGGTCTCGCCAAGTTGCCCAGGTGGGTCTCGAACCCACGGGCTCAGGGAATCCACTCACCTCAGCCTCCCAAATCGCTGGGATTACAGGCTGAGCCACCGAACCCGGCTCAGAAAAGATTTTCATTTGCTTCTGCTAGGAACGAAGAGGTGCTACCACCCCAGGACCTTGTTGATTTCCCTTGAGGGTTCCTCATGTAGCAGGACGGTCTCCAATCCAAGACCTCCTGACTCCTTTGCTGAGCTTGACATTCATCCCAGAGACAACAACACTCCCTTCACCATTTAGAAGCTCACCACTCCCGCTGTGTCTCTTAGACCGTGGGTACTTCCCTTACCTTCTCATGAGCCCAGCAATGCAGTAATAATTCTATCTCAGTTATGTAGGAGCCGGTTGTATTTTAGGAGTAAGAGGTATCAGCCTATGTCGTTTGTCACTGTTGGAGTATTGCTTGTCAAGAAACGCTTCTTACCTCTGAGAGTTAACACAGATCTGTGTTCTCGGGACTTGAAAAACCAAAGTCAAGTTTAAACTAAAAGAACCAACCTGTGTATGTTAAGATAAGCCAGGTATTTACTGTCCTTGTTTTAGATGAACATCCTCTGTGATGGGAGCATTTGTTTGAATTCTTATATGTAGTAAATTTAAACATAAGGGGGGGAAATAGTGTATGGTTAGGAGAGAGACAACAGTATTAAACTGAGGACGTTCATGGTATTTTCGTGTGATCCAAGAGGATTCCCAGTACAGGTGCAGCTGTGTTTTAGGACTCCTGAAGACTCCTTATGTGGGACTGTGTGGTTTTTCTCTTTGTGTTTCAGCAAAAGAGCAGTGGCTCCGGCAGCAGCGTGGCCGACGAGAGAGTGGATTATGTTGTGGTTGACCAACAGAAGACCCTGGCTCTCAAAAACACCCGGGAAGCCTGGACGGATGGGAGACAGTCCACAGAATCAGAAACACCAGCCAAGAGCGTGAAGTGAAAAGACCGCTTTGCCATTTCTGAACGAAAGGGAACTGAACTGTAAAATAAATCCCGTTTGAAGATGACGTGACACTTCTGCTTGAGAAGAACCTCAGATGGGTGGAGTTGAAGCCGAAGGACCTTTCAGACATGACCAAGCGATTTAGACTTACATGGTGCTTTGTGGCATCTGAACAGTTCATCCCATGTAAATAAAAGCGGGAAAATAATATTGTTTAGCTCCCCAGAGAAGCCCTTGTTCCATAGTTAACACACTTGTAGTATTACTGTATTTATGCACTTTTTCATTTAAAACATTGTTTGGGGTGTTCCCAGTGTACCTTGACATGATTCCTTTGGGAGTTCTTGTTTTTCCTCACACTACTTTTATATAACAGTACTAAGTCAACTAAGCTACTTTTAGATTTGGAAATTGCTGTCTAAACGGCAGTCTAATAACCTTCAAGTGAGAATTAGATTCACAAGTTGGCCTTCTATCTGGAGCTTTAAGTGGTGACCATTAGCTTAAACTACAGAGTATCGGTGAAGATAAATGGATGTACTGGTGTCAGGCCCTGGTTCTCTGGTTGGTGACCATTTTCGTGTTTAATGGAGGAACCCTGTTATGTTTTGTTAATCACAGCATTTTTCGTTCACTGAGTAAAGATTCTGCCGGGCAGGATCTTACATACACCTTTGAAAGACTGAGTAATCATACTATCAAGTAAGCCTGCAAATCATCGATGGCATGCAGTGATAATGTGCTCCGACCCTTGTTAACACGTGTTAAATGTTATTTGCAAAAGGTAGATGATATTAATATAACTAATCAGGTACGTACCAGGCACTGATGTGCTCATACACTGGTCAGGTTTAGACAATGAGCTTTGGTTGTGTTCTTGTTAGTCCTAATATTGGTTTCCAGTTTGGAATTAATAAAACACTTGACATTCACTGTTAGTTAGAGCAACATACTGTGATTTTTTAATTAGACAGTAATTCAGATTTATTACTCTAAGAATGAAATTCTATCTTTTGACACCATAGTGCTCTTTCTATGACTTTTTTTTTTCTTGATATTCTTCTTGGCCTTATATTTAAATCCCTATGCAATTAATATTTTATATCTGCATTTTTAAAAAATAGATGTTATATAAGTGATTCTCAGATGTAGCACCTACTACTTTCTCAGTAAAAGAGTTAAGGATTTTGTACTGTGATTTATATTCACTGCCCCAGTTCAAGAAATATTGGAGCCTTGCTAGAATGTGAAATCTTATAGTTGTGGACCCCTTCCAGCTGGATTTCTGAAACCTCCAGAGGGACAGTGTAGTTCTGTCTCACTTATAATATGGTTCTCTGACACGAATATCAAGACCACAAATTATAGTGAGGCTACAGTTATCTCCATCTCTCTTGGCTTTGCAGCATCATTTAGGAAGCAGGTATAGTTGTTGGCTTGTTTGTTTAACCAAGTTACGTACAGTCTCTTATGTATTGATTTTAAGACTTACTAACAGGTTTCGGAGGGAGCATACAGAGAGAAGAGCCCACCGCTGGGGCAGGACTACCACCGTTCAAACCTCTAACTGTTGCCCGAATTACACAGATGTGCCCTGATTTCTGGCCCATTGGCCATAGTACTGTGCCTAATCAATGTCATAGGTTTATTTCCCCGATCCACAAACTAAAAATGTTCCTAGCAAGATGAATTGTAGATTAGTAACCTTTGATGCTTTTAAATGTTTGCTTCTTTTTAAACAAAAGCTAAAACCCAGAAGTGAATTTTGAGGTGAACTTTTAAATAAAAAAAAAAAAAAAAAAAAGATTGTTTGAGTTTTTGTGCAAGCTGATTTGTAATGAAACCACAAAACAGCCGGGCTCGGTGGCTCAGCCTGTAATTCCAGTGCTTTGGGAGGCCAAGGTGAGTGGATTGCCTGAGCCCGCGGGTTCGAGACCCGCCTGGGCACCTTGGTGAGACCTAATCTCTACAATAAATTTAAAAAATTAGCCGGGCGTGGTAGCACGCACCTGTAGTTCCAGCTACTTGGAAGGCTGAGGTGAAGGATCACCGGAGCCCAGCAGGTCGAGGCTGCGGTGGCCAGGAGCAGCCACTGCACTCCAGTCTGGGTGACAAAGTGAGACTCCAACTCAAAAAAAAAAAAAGAAAAACCACAAAACAAAATCTGAAATCAATGAAATATACCTAAACTATCAAAGCACACAATGCAGTTGATGTGTAAAAATACTAAATTGTGTTACCTGGGGGATGAATGATATTTTTGAGATTTAAAACACAATAGTAAATACGGGATTGATTCAAAAATAACAAATATTTCTTTACAGCTGCCTACCAGAAGGATCTAAAGCAACTACAAATGTTTTTAGCCCAGGAGTTTGAGGCTGTGGTGAACCATGAACGTGCCACTGCAAGAGTAAGAGTAAGACCCTGACTCAAAAAAAAAAAAAGGAATGGAAATGTATTGGAAAGGCAGTCTGCTTTAGAAAACTAAATCACATTGTATTAATGAATGAAATTAGAACATTGTTTCTTATAAAGCAATGCTTTCCAAACTTTTTTCTTTTTTAGAGACAGAGTCTCAACTCTCTCTTCACTGCCCAGGCTGTAGGGCAATGATGCAATCATAGCTCACTGCAGCTTCAAACTCATGGGCTCAAGTAATCCTCCCACCTCAGCCTCCCAAGTAGCTGGAACTAAAGGCATGTGCCACCATACCCAGCTTTAAACACTTTTTAGCACTAGAATCTTTTTAAATAAAATTTTATATGTAACCCCAACACATAAAGCCTGAAAAGTCTGTTTTATCAGTATAAATATATTTTTATTTCATTTGTATGTTTCTTTGCCTTGTTTCATTACTAAACAATAAGATTTCTGAATTATTTCTGAATAACGCAAATATGGAGTTATATAGAGTGGATGAAATCAGCAACAATTTATTCCTATGCCTTTTTAAATCTGCATACTGATAAGAAAATTTTGAGTCACACAAATATAAGCGCAGTGATAACAGATTTTAAACACACATCTCAGGAGATTCTTTAATTAGAGATAGCTAATGTTGTATTCCAATGTCCGTGTAGAGATAAATTATCCTAGCAGTGGAAGTTAATACATAAGCAGTCTTCAATGGGGTAAAATAAAGTATGTAACACATTAGAATGTGCATTTTTTAAGATACAGGCTTTTTTTTTTTTGAGTCAGAGTCTCACTCTGTTGCCCAGACTAGAGTGCAGTGGCACACTCAGCCACCGCAGCCTTGACCTACTGGGCTCAGGTAATCCTTCCGCCTCAGCCTTCCAAGTAGCTGGGACCACAGGCATGTGCCACCACACCTGGCTAATTTTTTGATTTATTGTAGAGACAAATTGTTGCCATGTTGCTCGGGCTGTCTGGAGCCACTGAGCTCAGGCAATCCTCTCACCTCCGCCTCCCAAAGTTCTGGGATTACAAGCTTGAGCCACCATGCCTGGCAAAATATAGGCTTATAAAAACTAAATTTGAATCAAACTCTTTCGGTTTACCTCCAAGAAGCTGGGTTTTAGCCAAGAATGGGTTAAAAACCACTGGTTAGTCACATGACAATTACAGATCAGAAGTCTTTTTTCTTTCGCATGTTAGATGTTCTCTACCTTTATTCCTTATTTTTAAAAACTAAGTTTTCATAAAGGTTTGAATACTAAAGCACAATTCTGTTTTCAAAAATTAAACCTGAAGAAGTTAAGCTATTTAACACACAGACGGTATCACTTAGTAAGCTGTAAAAGATTTTTTTCTACACTCTGGTTTATAAATTTTTACCTTTATCAGTGCCATATAAGCTACTGTGAGCATTTTAGAGAATTCCATAAAGGTACTATGAATGTGCGCGTATGTGTGTGTATAGTGGGGGACCCAAAATCACGAGAATTTGTTTATTAAAAAATTTTGGCCAGGCTCAGTGGTTCAGCCTGTAATCCCGCGCCTTTGGGAGGCTGAGGTGAGTGGATGGCTTGAGCCCGCGGGTTCAAGACCCACCTGGGCAACTTGGCGAGAACTCATCTCTACAATAAATCAAAAATTGCCAGGCTCGGTGGCTCAGCCTGTAATGCCCCGCCTTTGGGAGGCTGAGGTGAGTGGATTGCCTGAGCCCGCGGGTTCGAGACCTGCCTGGGCAACTTGGCGAGACCTCATCTCTACAATAAACCAAAAATTAGCCGGGCGTGGTAGTGCATGCCTGCAGTTCCGGCTACTTGGAAGGTTGAGGAGGAAGGATCGCCAGAACCCAGCAGGTTGAGACTGCGGTGGCCGGGAGTGGCCACTGCACTCCAGTCTGGGCTACTGAGTGAGACTCCAACTCAAAAAAAAAAAAAAATTTGTATTTATTCTTACATGTTTAAATTTCAGTCATCTTCAAAGTACTCTTCATTCGATGTAATACACCTGTTGAGAGGCTTTTTTCCACTACTCAAAACTGCTTTTTGAACTTGTCAATTTGGATGCCTTTTAGTGCTTCTGCTGTTCTTTGCTTCACCTCTTCCACACTGGCAAAACGTTTTCCTCTGAGGACTTTTTCTTCCAGGGAAACAAAAAACAAGTTGTTTGGGATGAGATCGGGTGAATAGGGAGGGTAAGGGACGAGAGTCATGCAATTTTTGGTCAAAAACTGCTTGAACACGCAGCACGATGTGGGCAGGTGTGCTTGTAAATCGCCCATTATGAAATAGGCAAATGTGTTGAATCTCAAAAAAAAAAAAATTCCCTGAAGTCAAACAGCCTCTTGTAACAACACTAGCTAGTACACTGATGCCAATGGGTTCCCATAATACCTAGCAGGGGAAACCTGTACTACAAGGGGACTGCCCTTCAAAAAATAATTCCTGTTTTCTTTGAGTCCTCTTTGTATAAATACACACACATATAACATTATAGTTAATCATAGGCTAAACTTAATTTGACATACAAATACTGCTATATCTATACATTAGTGTTCTAATTCCTTCTGGACTCTTTATATTTAATTAATGGAGATTACACTCTTCCTATCCATAAATGCATTTAAACTGGAAAAATTGAAGACCAGTGTTTTTCTGCTAGTGGGAAGTCGTCTGCTTTCTCCTGTTTAGAGAAAACAGCATTTTTTATGTTTTGTTACCATATTAACTACTTTATGTCTGTACATTATGCAGTAGACACTGATCATAATTCTTGAATGCTCACAACACTCTTATTGCCTCTTTCTTGGCCTGTTGAAAGTGTTGGTATTGGCCGGGCTGGGTCGCTCAACCTGTAATCCCAGCACTTTGGGAGGCCGAGGTGAGTGGATTGCCTGAGTCTGTGGTTCGAGGCCAACCCGGGCAACTTGGCGAGACCTCGTCTCTACAATAAATGAAAAATTAGCCTGGCGTGGTAGCATGTGCCTGTAGTTCCGGCTACTTGGAAGGCTGAGGTGGAAGGATCGCCGGAGCCCAGCAGGTTGATGCTAGAGTGGCCGTGAGCGTGCCTCTGCACTCTAGCCTGGGCGATGGGAGTGAGACTCCAACTCAAAAGACAAAAAAAGAAAGTGTTGGTATTTTGAGTGACTCCTCAGCCTTGGGTGCTTTAGAAACAGCGAGGTGGGCCCCGCCATCCTCTTCCTTTTCAGGTCATTCTGGTGTGTCTTGTTCTGAACTGTCAAGTCTGTGGCAGGGATTGGACGTAGGAGCAAATCAAGGGGACACACACAGCGAGGAAGCGACATACATCCTACGATAACAATTATTGTCAATAACATCTGATGCTGTGTGCAAATTTTCATATAATTCTTATAACAACTGCAAGATGAAAAGCCATGGGGTACATGAATATTGTAAACATCGTGGATTTAATGTGAGGAAAATCAGTTGTCAGGTTATTGAGATAATCGTTTTTGGTCTTTCTAGGTATATTTATGTATTACCATAGTTTGTCTTCTATAGACTTGGTTTTCTTTAGGTTTATTATAATCTTTGTGATGAGTTTCAACAAACCGATTTGTCAAGCTATTAACAAAGCTGCTTCTTTACTTCAATAGACATATGTTTTTGCACGAATTCTTGTAACTTACATTGGTTATTGACAGCCATCCCAAATTTCAATAGGAAAATCTTGTATATAAGATACTTCTTTCCTCTTGCCCATCTTCATTTGTAAAGGTCCAATTGTAGATCTTTTCTGCTACCAAATAAAACTTTTTAAACAGTTTGGTTTCAAGACCTCAAAGAGATAATTTGGATACTGAGCTTGTGAGCTAGTAAGGACCTATCAGTATTTATTTCCAACCTTTCCTGAGAGTCTTTTTTTTTTTTTGAGTCGAGTTGCCGTCGCCCAGGCTAGAGTACAATGACACGATCACAGCCACCCCAGCCTCAACCTGCTGGACTCAGGCAGTCCTTCCCCCTCAGCCTTCCAAGTAGCTGAAACTACAGGCGCGCACCAATATGCTGGTTAGTTTTTGATTTATTGTAGAGTCAGGGTCTCGCCAAATTGCCCAGGCTGGCCTCAAACCCCTGGGCTCAGGCAGTCCTCTCACCTCAGCCTCCCAAATTGCTCGGCTTACAGGCGTGAGCCTGTACGTGCCCGGCCCTTAGATTCTTTATCTGGATCAAAAACCCAATTCTGCCATTAACTGTACTTCCCAGTCCCGTTTCTATAGGGTCAGTGGTTTTCTGCAACAAAGATCTCGCTAAGTCATGCTAAAATCAAGTCAAGATCTGCTCTAACTAGACGGGTAAGCTTCTTGAACTCTGTGGCCATACACACATGCCGTTACCCCTCAGCCAGCCAGAGTCAGCATCTTTTTTCTTT